ATATACCAAGAGAAGTATGGATTCAAATTTCACAATAGTTACACTAGAAACTTTTTGACTTTTTAATTTTTCTAGTATAATTTTTAACCGATAAACATTTTTCTTACAATTTTTAAAAAGATAAAATTTCTCCTAAACTTTCTTTTAATGTAGAACTCATTTGAAAATTTTTCTATAAACTTTTTTTATATCAATTTTTTATCAAATACAAAAAAATTAATAATTTAACAAAATTTTGACAAACTTTATTACTATTTATGAACTTTTTGTATAATAATTTTTAACTTTTTATATAATATTTTTACCAAAAACATTCTTAGTAAACTTGATCTCTGACCAAAACAGGGACTACAAGAGTTAGTGCATACTAATTAACATGCTTAATTGAGTGAAAGTAACCTATCATAATGTCGTATAAAATTGGAGGCAACAACTTACTTTTAGCACTTTGCCTTAATAAATTTGTAAGTTTTAACCCCTCACCTTATATTATGACACTTTTAGCTCTTCACTTATACGAATTAAAAAAAATAACTCTTACTCAACATTAAGTTATAACGTTTTGTTAGTTTTGTTAGTTAATTGTTAGTTTTGTTAGCTGATTATTAGTTCTGTTAATTAATTATTAGTTCTGATTGTTAACTCTATTACCTGATTGTTACCATTTCGTTAATGAAATTAATACATAAAATTGAATTTAAATTTTATATATTCTATAATGAAATAACAGTCAACTAACAGAACTAACAATCAGCTAACAGATATTAAATAAAGGTTGTTTTCTTCAATTCATATAAGTGATGACTAAAAGTGTCATAATATAAGGTGATGGGTTAAAATCTATAAATTTATTAAAGGAAATGGTTAAAAATAAATATTTACCTAAAATTGGAAGACTATACTAGAGTTGCATTTACTTATAGATGCACGGTTCCATGTAGTCATCTTTTTGGTTCTTTGTAACCTAATTAATTTCATTTTCATTGAATGAATTAGCATTCTTATTATCTAAAAGTAAGATACGCTCGTTAGACTAAGGGCTAGTTTGGTACAACGGTTAAAATTCAGCGGATAGCGGGTAGCGGGTAGCGGATAGCGGATAGCTGTAGCGGGTAGCGGGTGACGGTAAGCGGATAGCAGATGGCGGATAGCGGAAAATGGGTAGTGGATGGTAAATAGCGGATTCGATAAATATAAC